CAAGGCGTGCTTCAGCACCAATCCAGCAGCCTCTGGGGAGGAAGTGGGGCCCCTGCTGTTGTAGTTTCTGTCTCTATCTCAAGTTCCGGTTCTAGCCTCAAGCTCAGGCCTCAGCTGCACACCTTGGAGAAGGGTGGCTAACGAAGAAGCAGGTCCCCGAGCTCGCAGTCCAGCCCCGGCTCTTGGCTGAGTGACCCTTTCCAAGTCACGTAAGCTCTGCGAGCCCCCTTTCCTCATCTGAGCACCGAGGACCACGAGGTCTCAGAGTTGGTGTGATTCTGGGTGATTCCAGATGTGAACGTACTTCCCAAGCCCAAAACGTTGCCCTTGCTGCTCGGGGCGGGGCTGAGCTGCTGCGGCTGTCCTCATCGGCTCTTTAGGACACAGCGACTTCTACTTACCCATCTCCGGGGATGGGAGATGAGATCATTCATCTCAGTCCCCAGTGTCAGGGTGGGAATGGCGTGCAGGTGGCGTGGGGTGACCTCAGCTACATTGCCGCTCCCTTCTGGGGTCTGGGTGAACTAGTCCCTGCTGTGCCTGGGGCGGGCACCCTGCCTCTGTCCGTCTGTGGATTATATGGAACTGATGGCTTCGATTTTGTGTGTTCTCTGAATCTCCTAGTGTCTTGTCAGCACGTAGCACATAGTATATGCTCAGGGAACACGCGCTGAATGAATGAGTGAATGAATGAATGCACATTATAAAGGAAGAAACTGAATCAGGGGAAATGCCTAAAGCATGTGGGCTCGGCCACCCCAGCAGCAGAACCCAGCCCTACCTACGTGCAGGACATTTCCTGACAAAAGACTTTGCTGCCACGCAGTCAGCGCCCACCCTAGGACGTCGCTGTGTCTGGTTGCGTGTGGGTTATGCCAGGAAGTGAGAAGCTGCTCTGGAGGGACCCGCTGGGGAGAACGGTTGCGGGTTGAGTCTTGTTTACACACTTCGCTGCAATCATGGTAGTTGGAGTTGCAGGCTCTGAGGCGCATTGGGCAGGCTCAGGGGCATTGCCACTTGGGCTCTGCTCACATTCTCTCTCTTCCCTGTCACTGGGGTTTCTGGGCGGGCTCAGGCCTGTCCCTTCCTCACCCCAGTCCTCTTTGGGATGAAAACACCTAGGTAATACTTCTGGTAGAATCTGGCACTCTTTCCTGTCAGACTTGGCTAATCTTTTCAGTGTCAGATAAATCAGACACTGATTATAGTGTCTTAGTCACTTGTTTGTCATTCACTCACAAAAATTTATCAGTTGCCTATTCTGTGCTAGATTTGGGGCTAAAAGATAGAAAAGACATAGACCCTGTCCCCAAGAAAGTCATAGTCTGGTGGCAGTGGAACACATTTTAGGTTTTGGGGAATCTGCTGTTTTGGACAGTCATTGCTTGGGAATTTGAGGTGTTTTACGGAAGCAGAGGGTTTCATGTGAGAAGGGGGAAGGCTGAAGGGGCACAGCCGTCTGGCAAACCTGAGGGGCCTGTGTCTGCCTCCTGCTGTCCTGGGCTGGCTCTGGGCTTTGGGAAGTTTGTCCAGAGCTCCTGAGCCTTGTTTTTGGCCTCTTTGTCCTATTTTGCCCCTCTGCCCTGGACTAGTTTCTCTTCATTTCCCACACTCAGATGCCCAGATTCCCTTAGGCTTTGTCATGGGACAGGCTAGGGAGTGAGAGCCATCTGGCGCAGGTGACCTCTGGCTTTCTCAGCGGCACAGGGGAAGGCACAAGGGGGAGAGAGGCCTGGGCGTGGGGAGCCTGGCTGCTAAACCACTTCTCCATGGCAGTAGCCAGACACAGAGCTGACCCCAAAGGCAGGAGAGGGGAGCCGTTAGAGATGGAAGAGGCCTGGGGGTAGTGCTGCCACCTGAAATGGCCCTTCTCCCACCCTCCCAGCGCCGAGGCAGCCCTGGCCTCCTCTGCCTCCGGCAATTCTCCCAGTGCCCCGAGCTTGTCCGTTGTTAGTGAAACATGAGTTTATGTGATTGTTTGATAGCAGCTAGCTGGGAGTGGGGAACACTCCCACCCCTCTAGACTCAGGGAGCTCTGCGGGAGCAGGACCATGTCTGCTTCTCTCACCAGCAAGGTGCGCAGCACCAAGGGACAGTGCTGTTTGGTGGAACGAATGAGCAGAGCTGGACACCTGCTGCCCTGCCCGGCGGGAAGGGTGGCCTGCGCCAAGTTCTGGAGGAGACCCAAACACCAGGCCCTGGCAACTGCTGGGGCCTTTCCCTGGCCCGGCCCTGCCGAGCCCAGGGCCTGGCCAAGACCCCGAACCTGAGCTCGATGTGGGGCCTGCATGGCCCGGACCTCGGCAGGGCCCTCCCTACTCCCGGGCCAGGTGCTCTAGACAGAGCACCGCCTGCTTGTTCCCACCGCCACCCTTCCTTGCTGTCCACATGCAGTTCCCTCTCCTGGAGTGCCTGTCGCACCCTCTCTCCTGGAGAGAGCCTGTGCACTTTCCAAGGTCCAGAGAAAGTAATTTCTCTTCTGGGATGGCTCCCTGACCACCTTAGAGGGAACTTACTGACTTCTCTGTCCAGGTACCTTCCTTGTGCCACCTGTGGTTCTAGACTTGCCACACTCTCCTAGCATCCTTTGGTAAGGAGTTGTCCTGCCTCTGGATTCCGAGCACCTCCAGGGCAAAACCTATTCTTCCGCCCTCCCCCGTCCCCAGCCCTCTGGAGGTAGTCACTAGCAGGGAGTGATTAACGGGATTGGAAGGATGAAGTTACTTTGGGGGTCATAGCGGCATCAAGCCCCCACCCTGCCCCATCCCCACCCAGGGGGTGAGAGGTCCTGGGGGACAGGTGGGGCCTACCCTTCCTTTGCTTATGTTGCCCTCTTGGGCCTTTTTACTGCCCAGCCCTTGGTCTGCTGCCTAAGAGCCCAGATGGCACCACTAGGCCGGAGTGGGCTCCAGGACCCTGCCTTCTTCTGAGGTGGGCACTGCCCACGCTCCCAGGCCCCCCGCTGCAGCGGGCTAGCCTACTTACCCGCCATGTCCCTAAGTCCCAGCTCAGCCCAGCAGGCCCCTTGGCCTGTACCAGCTGGCGAGGCAGGGAGGAGAGGGGGGTCCCTGCTCCCTGCAGTGCAGCCGAAGGGTTGGACGTGGCCTCAGGCATCCAGCTCTCTACTCTGGTGGCTTGAGCCGAGGCCTCCCGGCAATGCTGAGTCCAGACCAGGATGGCTCAGCATCACACACACACACACACACACACACACACACACACACACACACACCAGGATGGCTAGTCATAGGGTCTTGCTTTCCTGCCTGGGCTCAGCTGAAGCCTAGGTCTCATTTCCCTTGGGGACAGAGACTGTGCTCAGGCCTCTGCGCAGGGCCTTTGCAGTTCCTGCTCTCACTGGGCACACCCAGAATAGACTCAAGGGAGAGCTGTTGTTAAGAAACAGCAACCTCGCAGGACTGACTCTGTCCTGGGAGGGGCCCGTGGGTGTGGGAGGCAGGGAGGAGGGGGTATAATGTCTGGGCCTGGGCATGAGCTGTCCCATCTTTTCCCAGTGCTGGGAGCTATGCTCGTCCGGGCCTCATTAGAGGAAAATGACAGGTAATTAGGCACAGGTGGTTTCAGGCCTAGGGGCCGCCTTGCCTTTGGGCCCAGGCCTGACCCCTCTACCACAGTGTGCCGCCTGCTGCCCTCCCTCATAGAGCTGAGCCGCTGCTTCCCTGGATGGCGAAGGCCAGGGTTAGCCTTGCCACCCGCCCCTCATCCATTTCCTGAAGAGTTTCTCTTCAACCACAGTCCATACCCTTGCACAGGCCTCCGTGGTTCACAGAGCCTAGTCACACGCACTGTTAGCCCACTCGGTCCTTCCGTTAACCCGTGTGCACATGGGGTGGGTAATATTTCTATTTTTACAGGGAGAAAATGAGTCTCAGAAAGAGTCAAGTCTCAAGACCAGTAAGCTTACAAGGGAGCCGGCCATTTGACCTTTTGATTCTATAGTTAGTGCTCTAGTTATTTGCCCCAGGAACGACCCCTCCTATATTGCCCCCCTAAGAGGCACCCCAGTTTTCCTCAGCACAGCTCACAGCCGGTGGGCTGGGCTGCTTCCTCTTCTCTCCTGGGAGCCCCAGTGGGGGCACGGCTGGGCTTCTGGGAGCTCCCTTGGATGAGGGCGTGGGCAGCTGGTGCTCCTGGGTGGACCGCAGGGTGGAGCAGGCAAGGCCTCCCCTCTCTGACCCTCTGCCACCCAGCACCGGGACTAGAGCATCGCCAGACTTTCCAGGGTAGCCCTGTGGGCAGGGCTGGGGCCAAGAGTCATTTGAGGGGCCCCAGTAAGTCACCTCTTTCCCCTTGGACAGAATGCTTCCCTTCCTTTCCCTCTGCCCCCTCCCCCCCCGCCCATTTTCAGTTGGTTCTTGGGCAACTGGCCCATCTTGGCCAGCGATTGGAGAAGGCAGATCCCTGGGTCCCCCTGAGACCCACCATTTAGCCTCTCCCCTTCGTGTCCTCAGCTGTCTGGGACTCTTTCTCTTTGCTTCAAGGCAGCGAAGCCGCTCAAGTATTCGGAGGAGGAGAGAGGGCAGGGCCAAAGCAGACCAAAGAGGAGATCTCCACAGACACCCTAGATTTGAGGCAGCTCTCCACTGTTTTCTTTAATCAGGAAAGGAGTCAGTTTCTCCAGGGAGGTGGCAAAGGCCCCTGTGGTGCCAAAACAGCCCCTCGCTCTTGGAAAAGTGCCAGCCTCCAGCCAACAGACCAGGAGGCACCGGGCAAGAGAGGGGACAGGGTTTAGGAGGAGACAGTCAGAAAGGCAGCCTCAGTCGAGGTGCTGGTGCAAGGGTGTGGACAGGGAGGGAGAGAGCAGGGTAGGTGGGCAGGAGACAGCTGGAGTGTGGGAACAATGCAGGTGTGACCGCTCTTTAACCTGAAGGGTGTTACAAAATTCTCAGCTGATGACCTCCCGGCTGCCTGAAAGACTCTTTATAGAGACACCCCCCACCCCTACTGCCAGTCTTCCGAGCTGGGGCCCCCACACTCACCATGCTGGCTCTGAGATCTTGATTGCTTTATGGCCTGGGGCTGAGTCCCGAATCGGGCGGAGGGCCTCCCGGCTGGGCCAGGCCGGGCCGCAGGTCAGAGGCCCCCAGCGGCCTTGGCTGGAGGAGGCCTAGGTGCGGAGCGGGCCCGGGGCCCTGGGGCCCAGCATCCCTTTCTCTGCAGGGCGCTGCCGCCTCTCGCCGCTGTTCTGCGGGAGTGATTTGGGGACTGTGGGGCAGGTCGAGGAAAACAGTCCTTGGGGTGAAGTTGCCAAACTGGAAAGGTTGTGTGCCTTGTAACCTGACACCTGTCTTAGGGGCTGGAACAACACCTGGAGTCATTCAGGGCCCTTTGCCTCAGAACAGGTGACACACCTAGATGGCGCAAAAGCCTTCCCGCCTGAGCGACTTCCACCCAGCCGGGTGCTGGCTGCCGCGTGCTAGAGGCGCTCTCTCTGCTGGTTGCGTGGGTTCTCACGCGGGTGTGTGCTCTTGTTTGGGGTTGTGATAAGTTGGAGGAGTTTGGGGGGTAGGATGACAAAACTTACTGCTCAGTGGAACTGGGTTGTTCCCATCTCTTAAAATGAGGAAAACCTGGCCCCGGGTGCGAAGCTGTCCCGCTCAGGGCTTCACAGGGCGCGCCCCAGGGTCCCACCAAGACGTCTCCCCGCCTCACCAGCTACTTAACATCGTCAGTATCTCCGCCGCTGCCAGGCTCGCACCCAGGTCTCCCTCCGCGCAGGGTCCCTTCTGATCCGCATCCCGCTGCCTCCTGGGCCCTGAGCGGCCCTGTCAGGGAATGCACAGGCAAGACCGTGAGCCGCAGAACTGTGCAGCTGGAGGCACCTGTTCCTTTTGTGGTGAGGACACCAAATTCTAGAGAGCAAAGCCAAGTCTCCAAGATCACAGAAATTAGTGTCAGATTCTGAACAAATCCAGATTTCCCCCATTTCTCGACCTTGACCCTCCCTGGAGGTCAGCCAGGTTAGACTTGAGTGTTGGCTCTTCCATTAAAAATGCACTTCTTGCCAGGCCGGGCGTGGCTCAGTGGTTGAGCATCGACCTAGGATCCAGGCGATCCGGGTTCGATTCCTGGTCAGGGCACACGCCTGGGTTGCGGGCTCGATCCCCAGTCGGGGGCGTGCAAGGGGCGGCCGATCAATGGCTCATCATTGGTGTTTCTATCTCCCTATCCCTCTCCTTTCCTCTCTCTGAAATCAATAAAGATATATATTTTTTAAAAATGTGCTTCTATGTGCCATCTCTTTAATTCTTACAACCCTATGAGGAATATTTTGTTCCCACTTGACAGCTGAGGAGATCATAGCTTGGGGCTCATGAAGTGACTGCCCCCACAGCACACTGATTTTTGGCAGACTTGAGGTTTGTACCTGGCTCTCTGACAACTACCAGCCATGTGAAGAGGCTGAGCATAGCACAAGTGTCTGAAAGGCCCACATGGTCTGGGAGACATTGCCCATGGAAGACCCTGGTGACATCTGAGCAGAAGAAATATCAGGTCGATTTATGTGACTGTCAGCCAGATCCCAGCTGCTCAGTGTGGGGCGGCCTTGGACTTGCCACTTAGCACAGAGACTGAAGTTGGTCTGGAGGCTCTCTTAAGCCAACATGGCCCCAACATCCCCACTCTGGGCGGCAGCCTTTAGAATTGAGAGTCCCAGGCAGAGTCAAGTGCCTATGACCTCAGAACAGGTGACTTCAAGGGACAGGCTTCAAAGACCCAGGCAAGCACCTCCCTTTTAAGGAGAACCCAGCGGTGGGACAGTGAGGGGCTAGGGGGCCACCCTGGAACAGGCCTTCCCTAGCCTTAGTTCCTTATGTGCCAGGCTAAACGTCTGGCCCCGAGTTTGCATCCACTTGCTTGGCACTCAGGTGATGAACCAGGAAAGAGGTAGCTGCCTGGGCAAGAAGGCTGCTGGGCGTGGCTGGTTGAAGGAAGATTACTCAGCTGCCTGGCTCCAGGCCAGGCCCAGCGCCCGGGGGTCTGGGAGCCTGATAAGAGGCCTGGGTAGGACGCGGACGGGGCCACTGTGGTGGAGAAGGAGCTGCAAGGTCTATAGGCAGAGGCAAGAGGCCTGGCGAGGGCAGAAGGCTCCCTCTTCCCTGGGCCAGGTGGGGCTGGACCCCCATGCCTCAGCTCCCCCTCGGCCACCTCCTGTCCTGCCCTGAGCGCTCTTCCCCTTTTCCTCCCGTCTCTTTAGATTCCCTTCCAGTTTTATTCTCCTGGCTCTTTCCATCTGCTCACATTTTATCTCTTCCTTGTGCTCATTTCCAGCTTGGAGGTCGAGATCAGAGACAGCTTTGCCACGTAACAAACAAAACCCAAAGCAGAGCCCCTCCCTTGCATGGCCCTCCAAGGCCGGGAAGGCCCCTCAAAATGTTCACGTATGTTTTTGCAAATCTTATAGCATATTTTCGGGGTATGCTTTCTTCTTAAAAAGGGCTCCTCAAAATGTAAAGCTTCGGGCCTCAAAAACCTGGCTGTCTCTTGGCCAGGAGTGAGGGGTGTGGAAGCCTGGAGTCCAGTGTCCTAATCCCACCCCCCGATGTTTGTGTGACTGTGGGCATTTTATGTAATCCTCCTGAGCCGCACCTTCCTCAGCTGTAAAATGGGGGCCACAGCAGCACTGACCTCACACGGCTGTGAGGATTAAGTTCCGTAATCTCTGTGAAGCGCCTGGCACCTAGAAGGGCCTCTGTGAATGGAGCTGTTACCTGTTCATTTCGTGGAACGTGTGCTTGTGGAGCTCCTGCTAGAGCTGGCTGTTGCGCCAGGCACTGGGGATTAGGAAATAAAGGACGCAGGCCTTGCCCTGGCTGGTTTGGCTCAGTGGTTAGAGCGTCAGCCTGCAGACTGAAGGGTCCCGGGTTCAATTCTGGCCAAGGGCACGGACCTTGGTTGCAGGCTGGATCCCTGGCCTTGGTCCGGGCCTGTGCAGGAGGCAACCAATCGATGTATCTCTCTCACGTCGATGTTTTTGTTTTTTTTGTCTCTCTCTCCCTCCCTTCCACTCTCTCTGAAAAACAATGGAAGAAATATCCCCAGGTGAGGCTTAAAAACAAAAGACACAGGCCTTGCACACACAGTCTGCTGGAGGGACGTGACATGGCCACAAATCGGGCTAAATTAGAGAGATGTCTGGGAGAGGCGAAAAGAACACTCTCGGGGAGTTCAGAGGCTCTTTTTCACCTTCCGATGCCCTCTTTCCCCCTCTTTCTCTTCTTCCTTCCGTCTCCTTTCCTTCATTTTCCCGGAGGACATTTTTACGGAAATATATAATTTATAGGGCAGTACATTAACTGTCAGTTGTTTCTGATTAAACATTTGATCTTTTTTATTTTTATTTTATTTTATTTTTAAATATGTCTTTATTGATTTCAGAGAGAGGAAGGGAGAGGGAGAGAGAGATAGAAACATCAATCATGAGAGTCATTGATCTGCTCCCTCCTGCACGCCCCCTACTGGGGATCCAGCCCACAACCCGGGCATGTGCCCTTCTTGACCGAGAATCAAACCTTGATCTTCTGGATCATAGGTCCATGCTCAACCACTGAACCATGCCAGCCAGGCTAAACATTTGATCTTAATATCAGCAGCCATCCACATGTGCCTGTCCATCGATCCACCCACCTGTCCATCCACCCGTCCATCCATCCATCCATCCATCCATCCATCCATCCATCCATCCATCCATCCAACACATAGTTTCTATGGTGTCATCAGGCCTTGTGGTTAGACACTGTGGTTAGAGAAAATAACCCTTGCCTTGGAGAGCTAGTCTGCCACGGACTGCAGTTCCCCATTAAAGCAGGAGCTTCTGGGGGCAGCCAGCCCTCTACATCCTTTCTGCTCAAGGCCTGTCTGTGGAACCAGCAGCACTGGCATCACCTGGGAGCTTGTTAGAAATGCAGAATCTCAGGTGCCCCCCCATACCTACTTAATCAGAATCTGCACTGTAAGATCCCTGGGTGATGTGTATGCACCTTCAAACTTGAGAATTACTGTTCCAGATAAATGAATTCAGTAAAGTAGCAGGAAACAAAAATAAATATCCAGAAATAGATGGCATTTTTATATACCAATAATGAACTATCAGAAAGGAAAACTAAGAAAACTATCCCATTTATAATTGTATCAAAAAAGCACGCACCTATGAATAAATTTAACTAAGAAGGAAAAAGTCCTGTTCTCAGAACATTATGGTGTTGAAGAAAGAAACTGAAGAAAATACAAGTAAGTGGAAGCATATGCCGTGTTCATGGACAGGAAGAATTAACATCATTAAAATGTTCATACCACCCAGAGCAATCTACAGATTCAAAGCAATTCCTATCAAAACACCAATAGCATATTTCACAGAATTAGAATTAATAATCCAAAAATTTACATGGAACTACAAAAGACCCCAAATAGCCAAAGAGACTTGAGAAAGAAGAATAAAGTTGGAGGTATCACACTACCTGAAATCAAACTATACTACAAGGCCATAGTAAACAAAACAGCATGGCATTGGCATTAAAACAGACATAGATCAGTGGAAGAGAATAGAGAGCCCAGAAATAAACCCACACCTGAATGGTCAATTAATATTTGACAGAGGAGGCAGGAACATACAATGGGGTAAAGACAGTCTATTCAATAAATAGTGTTGGGAAAATTGGACAGAAACATGCAAAAATATGAAACTAGACCACCTTTTACATTATATATATGAATAAACACAAAATAAATGAAAGGTAAGACTCAAAACCATAAAACTCCTAGAAAAAAACATAAGCAGTAAAATCATGGACATTTCTCTTAGCAGCATTTTATATAATATATCTCCTTGAGCAAGGGAAACAAGAAAAATAAACAAATAGAACTGCATCAAACTAAAAAGTTTTAGCACAGCTAAGGAAACCATCAACAAAACTAAAAGTAACCCACTGAAATGGGAGAAAATATTCACCCATGATACATCTGGTAAGGGGTTAATACCCAAAATTTAAAAAGAACTCACCCCCCCCCCAAAA